CAGGGAACCCGATGCGGGACTCGATCCCGGGACTCCGGGATCATGACCTGAGCCGAAGGCAGTCGCTTAACCAACTGAGCCACCCAGGCGCCCTATTTTAGGCTATTTTAAATCACTCATATGTGCAGATGTGTGAGCTAAACTTTAGGACTTTAGCATCCAAATTTCATCATAGTTATTATGTTAGACATTTCAATACTTCCCTTAAGTATATGTGCTCTCCTTGTATTTATTAACTTCAAAAGATAAAGCAAAACAAATATCAATAGCTAATAGACAGGAGCAATTATTTGGTCTGAAAAGCTAAAATTCTACATCATGCGTGGGGTAATGGTATTTCCAAGTAATTTGAAAAGTTGAAGGCAATCCTTCATAAAACAGTTTAATCACTGTTGCCATCACAATGTATATAGCCAATGGCAGATCCATTCCTTTATTCATAGGACGCTTGTTGACTCGTATTATCAATGTCTACAGTAGTAGTCTTGTCCTCAATGTATTCAATCCATGCCTTTCATATTTACATTCATAAGAGCTAAAAAATAGGTTCTTCTAGCTTTTTTTTCTTTCCTTTCAGTACTTTTTCCTATTTCCCTCCTATTCCATAAATTGTAAAAGAAATGATACATCTGCATTCTGCTCATTTTGTTCCTAGCTTATGATTCCATGATTTTTTAATACTAGAAAATGAAAGAAAGAAAACACCATATATGCTGGATTTCCTATACAAGATAAAAGTCATCTTTTGACTGAGTTTTTAATGAGTTTCCTTCTCATCAAATATTAGTTTATATAGTTTGACCAAACTATTGAATTGTCAGCGGTATTTACCCATTAACCAAAAGGAAAAGATAACTATGTAGCAGAGAATATAATTTCATCACCGAGATCCTCAAAGGAAATACACTACAGAATCTCTAAGCATTTTTATTTTCACAGTGGTTGTATAAAATAATCCACTTACAGAATGTGGTTCCAATATTGAAAGAGCTGAGTACAATTTTCAATGTCTCCATGTTAGAAGAACATACTATTTTAAGCAAATGAAGAATATTGCTTTATTTATATGTTTCCATCACATAGTTCCTCTGATTCCGGTCAGAGACTTACTCCATATGAACATATTACTAAATTGGGTTGAATGGTCAAAGTAATGGCTGCACTGATTTCCTAATTTAGCGTAAAATGTTTAATGTCACTATGGAAAAAGGATGATTATGCGATAATGCTGGCATCAATAAAAAAAATGAAATCTCCCAGTGACTCAAGTGTCAAGAGATGTTTTTCCATCTTAATTAAGCCCTTCAAAACACATGGAAATCAAGTCAGCAAGAGATCAATATTCAAAGGAAATATGAAGCACATTTGAAAAATGTTTTCAGCATCAAAAGTTACGTTTGATTGTTGTCAACAACCATGTCCTAACACAGGAACCTGTCTTCCTGTTGAGTATATTCATTTTTCCACAGTAAAGTACTGCCTGCATCCGAGAGTCACTTTTATCTTTGTTTCTGAAAACAACTTGAACTCTATTTTTACTAAAAAGAATGGCATGTTGAACTTATTCCCTCAAAGGGAATACTTTGATAAAGCCTTTTATGTAATACTTACTCAAATATGGTGGTTTGTAAGGCGCTCGTGTATTAGACAGCAGTCCATCCAGCTCCTTCCTCTCCAGAGTGTTGTGAAGGGCCTTCTCTTTGCCAAAGGTGGAGAAAGACCTCTCCGCCCCAGGCTGGGCTTCTGGAGTTTCAAACACCTCAGTGTCTGGAACAGAGTCCATGCCAGGAACATGCAGATTGCTGCGATAATCAGCAGCTTGGCGTCCATCAGCAGGGACAAAAGAAGGCATCCAGCACCGATCTGAGTGGCCCAGGGCTTTGCATTCCTCAGTGCAGTTGGAGAAGAGATCCATGCCTGTAAGCAGAAAAAAAAGAGAAACTACAGGTTCAGGTTTCGCTAATGTGAGATTACAGGTGGCATAAAGGGTGCTGGGTGAATGTGCTTTGCCAAAGTTTTCTTGCCTTAACCTCACAGGAACCAAAAATGTCTTTGTACTATTTTCCAAAGGGTTAGACTTCTAGCAAAGAGGACCCTGAGGAAGATGTTTCTAATATTCTCAGAGTATCGGGAAAAAATTTTGGCTCTAAATTATTTAAATAACCAGGGAATGGTGAGTAGAAAAAGAATGAATATTTTAAAAAATCTCTGGTGAAATTCATAATAGAGACAAATGCAAAGTGTAAAGCCTTTATAATTCATAATCTCTAATGATGATAAGGCATCCAACACTTTTTTTTCCTTAGAGACAAAAACATTAGAACAATGTGAAGCACAAATGATGGTATTTAGATTATGAAATCTGGACATGAAACAAAAAGTGAAGTTCAACAGAAATACGGCACACATATTGATAAACAAATAAATAACAAGAATGAAACATTTCTTGAGTGGTCAAGAGCATGCTTTCTCGGGTTCTCAGAAAATGACCCTAAAATGTATATGTCAATGACATTCTGGTAGCCCATATTACTACAAACCACTTATCATTTACCACTGCAGACAAACCAAAAACAAATGACTGTAATCAGTGAAACCAAGGTAATCAAGTGTAATGTGAGTCAGCTGCAGATACTATTGACAAATACCTTATTACTTGTTCCATATTGGAAAACACTTGTCCTAGTCAACACAGAACTGTTTCCCTATTAATCCGAGAATACGAAGATTTCAAATGACATCTTCAAGTTATGTTGTCTCCCACAGATTGACAAGACTATTCAACATTATCTGATTATGACTCAAGAAAGTTTAGTTCTTAAGCAAAGCATAACAATTTTTGAGCATTATAAAAGACTTTTTGATATTCATTTTGGTAACTACCCCTACTCAGAAAAACAAGCACATAAACCCAAATCACATTTTAATATTTTTCTAAACATACTAACACATTTATTGTGCATGTTTTTAAACAGGATTAATTGAAAGTAATTTGAGTATGATTACTCTTATAAAAGAAACTCTCAAATGCATGAGTATGAATTTCTTTTTTTTAATCGACAGACTAATATTTATTTAATGAACCCATCTGATTGTTTCTCCTTATAAATACCATTTGTGATTTGAACTCCTGAGTCAGGTTTAGTAAATTCCTGATGGCATTGTGTCACAAACTGCTTTACCTGTTTGTGTGTATATGTTAATATCTGCATATATAAAATACAGAAAAGATTTTTTTCAGAGTATTAATCTTCTAGATTATCCACAAGTATTTTGGAGTTCAGAACAGTTAATTATGTAAATTATGTTTAAAGAAATAAAATGAAGCTTCTTATCATATATTAATCTCACTTTATGACTTTTTTATTTTAAATTAAACTATGTATAATGCCAAGTCTGACTTCGATTATAATGTTCCATTGATAATTGTCATGCATAAGCCTGGAAATAAATTACTGATCAGTGAACTGTTGAGGAACTTAAACGTGAGCTGAAACCAGGATAAGGAACCAGACTAAGAAAGCATGTAAAACACGTCAGTGTTTTTCTAGACACCAGAATAGCTCAGTTTTTTTATCCTATTTCTTCAAGGAGATAAGTAGAAAGAAAAAGAGTAAGGGAAGGAAAATGTCCCTGATACACAGTGACATACCAGGTAGGTAGAAGCTATAGAACCAGAGAGATTTATAGTTTTGTTTTGTTTTGTTTTGTTTTTAGATTTTATTAATTTATTTGACAGAGAGAGACACATTGAGAGAGGAAACACAAGCAGGGGGAGTGGGAGAGGGAGAAGCAGGCTTCCCACTGAGCAGGGAGCCTGATGCGGGGCTCGCTCCCAGGACCCTGGGATCATGACCTGAGCCTAAGGCAGACACTTAATGACTGAGCCACCCTGATGCCCCTGTATTTTGAATACTGTACTAGAAATGCTCCCTATTTGCAGTGTGATAGAGAAAAAAAAGACTTGATAAATGAAACTACTGTTAAAAGTCAAATTATGATGACCAATCATTTGTTTGAAAATTAAATTCAAGGCATAAAATTTAAAGTTGGTGGAATTAATTCAAATATTAAGATTGAACTGCATTGTTATACCCTAACAAAGATGGGTATATAATGCAAAATTTGGAATAAATGCAATTTTCCTCACATGACTGATAAATATCATTTTAAACACTACATGGGACCATTAATAATCTTTCACATCTTTTCGAGCACCTGTACCCAAGGACTCTCATATTTTTAAATAGGATCCTCTCTCTCATAGAAAAATTTTAATAAACTAGTCTTTCAACATTATTAAGATGCTGTTTGATTATGTTAGAAGGTACTTTCAATAGAACTTGTTTTTATATATAGTACATATTCAATTGTGCCCATTTTCTTCTCTTGAAGTTAATGGTTTTCTGGTTTTCGGCTTCTGTAGTTATTAGAGGTGAGTTAAAATTCCCTTAGATGATGTAATCAAGTTCTCATGAGTTGAGAACCTGTGCAGAAAATATGTCATGTGCATAACAAGAAAAATGAGAAATACGATAAAGTTTTTGTTGGAAGAACAATTTTACTTGACAGAAGGAAGAAAACACTTAGAAATAATGTTCTTAATAAATTTATGAACTAGTCCTTTTAAAGTGTGATTCCCATAGTAATAACACACAGCTTTATATAACCAGAATGAGAGTTATGGTGTCACAAATTGTGCATGAAGATAATTCACCAGTTTTACTGATAATGCAAGTGTACCGATTTCTCATGAGGAAAAAAATATCAGACACAGAAACAAAATTAGAAGAAAAATAAAAAATAGTACTTCAATAAATTTCGAATCATTTGCCTTTTAGATATATAGTTTGAGAACCAGATAAGTGATCCTATTATCATTCCTCATGTCAGGGAGTCACTAAAAGACTAACAGTATTTTACCTTTTTTCAATTATCTCCAGTCCCATTAAATATATTATTTAATCACCAAATAAGCAGAAGTATATTGAAGTTTTGTTATGATAAATGACTACATGATATACAGGAATGCCAGGTATTATAGGGCAGGTGACATATTAAAATGCATGCCTTTCACATTGCTCTTGGAAATTTTTAATAGCTCAAATTGAAAGCCGAAGAGAAAATAAATTTAACTTGATTTTTAGTTTTTCTTATTCAAATGTCCTTACTATAGAACCTGTGATATTTGTACAGCAGAAAAATACAGGCCAAACCTCAGTTTTGAAGTTTTGGTATTTTCTAAGAAATATCTGAACATATATAAATATATATAATTTGAAATTTCTTCTCCTAGTTATTTATTTTTCCAACTTCTCAGAAATAATCTGTTCTACAAGGCATGACAGCTGACGTGATAGACTGCCTGTTATGCAAGGATATATTTAGAGAAGTTTTAAAATACATATTTTTAACCAGCAAGTAACTTGTTCCTTAGAGTCAGAGGCAGTGATATTACCACTGAGAACAAATTGTGATTTCAAAAATATTATAATTGTATTCAAGTTGTGTTGTTTTCTGATAAATGTAATAATATAAAATTACAGGTACATTTCTTCCTCATGCACCTTCATAAAAAATGCTTCACTTTTTATTCAGCCTTCATAAAAAATGTTTAATTTTTCATAATTTGATAAATTAATTTTAAAGAAAATCAATACTTAATTTTTGAAGAAATTTCCAATCCTCCTTTAACCACTTAGCACCAAAAAATGGAGAAAGATCAATTACAAACACAAAAGTTGTGTAATTTTTAGGAAAATATAGCTCATCGGCAGATATTTATCAACATGATTCACTCATGAAAAAATCAAAACATGTACATCAAAATTTCTCCCTACTTATTCAAAATGTTCGTTTTTCTCCAATTTCTCTAATATTTTGTCATATATTTTTCCAATTATAAATCTTTCTGTAACATCAATTTGTAGTTCAGATTTTCACCAGAAACCTGAATAAGCTTTTGCAAACCATCATGAAAATTCAATTTATAAGTCCAGATGCTAATCTGCCAGTATCTAAATTCTTACTGGAGTTGGGAAAGGGAAATTTGTACTTAACGATAAATCAAAAATTGTCTTGCTGATATTGTAGTAGTTGTGCAATGGCTGAACACATTTCATGATATACTTTATCTACTAGTTTGAAGATACTGACAATTCAAATCACTTTTTTTTTTACGTATAGCCAAATTTTGACCACGTATCATGTATCAATCTCAATAATTAGTTAAAAAATAAACACACTTAGAAGCTAAGTTTCCTTGTAACTGAAAGAAAAATTTACAAGAAGGAGCGACTTAACAATTTTCAGGTAAACTATAACAAGTAACATTAACAGAATCACTTATTAGGGTTATCTTCTTCAGTATGTTTTTTATGAAGGCACAATTATTAAAAATGAACTGATAATTCCAGGAGTATGCATATTGCAAATATTTAATAAACGAGGCAAAAAAATTCTTACAACTAAATATATCTCCTTAGACTACCTACAATAATGTTAAAACGTTTAAGAATACACAACTAAAATTTTTGTATCAGTATGGCAAATCAGAAAAAAAAGATCTTTTAATCTAACGATATACTAAACAAAATTGAAACTATTTTTTTAAGTTCACTTTGACTCTTTTTTTGGCTATTTAAGCTGTGATTAATCGGATCTTCCTCCTATGATGGTTTATGCATACATTTACCACATCTCCCTGGACTTCTGCCATATCTAACCAATACATCAATAGTGCACTGAAAAAAACGGAAAGCACCTTGACAAGGCTATGGAAAGAAAATGCCACAGAGCAGTGGTCAAGCCGAAGAATTTCACACATGGAGCCAGGTGCAGTAGAAAACTGAAAAAGCTTATGTGATTCTCTGTGCAGCTGCCTCCGTGTTTAAAGCCCTTCTATGAGCAAGACTGGTGATGGCAAATTACTTAGAAAGGAGAAATACAAGGGGGGTAGCGGAGAAAGAACAAAAAAGAAAACTATTCACAGAAGAATAAATAGAAGGCATATCTAAATAAATGAATACAAAGTAATGCTAACATAGAAAAAGAAATTGAGAATAAATAAAAAGTTAGGAAGTTTAAACAGGTGAAACACTAAGCTCAATATTGTCTATAATGTAATATGGAATGAGGTACAGACTGAAGGACAGAATTCAGGGTCTATGTGTTTCTAGTATTATTTTTCCTTGATAACCTGCTGTTCTCCCCCTAAAAATTGGCTGAGTAAGATTTGCTTATTGTTATGATTTTTTTCCCCATATCGTAAACCTGGAAATAGATGTGCTGTGAATAATATTTCCTAAATATTACAAAATTGGAAAGTCATTAATACCTGGCTTTACAAGAAAATAAAACAGATGTACTTATTCACCTGAAATGGGTTTAACTTTTAGGAAATACTATAGCTACTTGCTATGAAGTTTACGGTACACAACATCAGTATGAACTGGAGAAAGTCATTAAGTAAATGCATTTCAATTCTCTGTATTTAGGGCTTTATACCTAAAGAAGAAAACACTTCAAAATCATTCTTACAATAAAATTAGACATATTAAATCTGATTGCAATTCAGCACACAAAGGTGAGATTACTTCTTAATACAAGTGTGTCATTACAATTCTCAAACAGCAATTACTGTGCTCAGTATGTTTCAGCTGCCCTAGAACTGCCAATGAAATACAAAAATAAATTCATTCTGTAATACTTTTCACATGTAAGAATGTAAAGATAGGGAAAAATTTTTGCCATTGATAAAGAAAAATACAAACTGCCTTGCTTTTTAAAAATGTTTTCCAGAACACAGTTTGGCATTTTAATTTTCCTTTTAATGCTTTGACATCTCAAATAATTTGAAAGAAACATTACCAAAAATGGCAACATTGAGTCCCTGAGAAATAAAATAGCTACTGGGAAGGCGCATTGATAAGAATCTATTCCCATCCATCTTCCAAATATAGTACTTTTTGCAGATGTTTATTCGTTTCTTTTTCTTTGGTTAGGTTATTATAGCTCATTATGTCTGAGGGACTAAACTAATTGAAATGTTCATTGAGACTTGAGTGCTACAGAAAAAAACAAAGCAGGGGGTGGGGGAGTGGGAAATGAATAAAATGCACCCAAGGATACATGCAGCAGATACTATTTTAATATTAAACATTTTGTTTTAAAAGTTTTAAAAGGCTAACTTAAATCAGAAACCCTGAAAAATGAATAGGAATGAGCAATTCTAAACGTACAGCTTTTTAAAGATAACGATAAATCATATGCCATATATAGGCCAAAAATGAAAGGGACTTTGTACTCAAATATAAACTTCTGGCAAGATCTGGTTTGTTGTCAGGTTCCCAGACACTAAATAGATGCTCTGTTCACTTAGCGTGAAGGCCCGCAAGGGGCAGGGACCTCCGGGGATTCTTGGCAGTTCTCAAGTCTCATTAGGTCTGCATATTAATGACTTGCAGCAATATAAAGAGACCCTTGAGCAGCCTCTTTCTCCCCTCCTCCTGCCTGTGTTTCCCAAGGCTAAGGCAGCCTCAGACACAGCACACATTAGCCAAGTGAGAGGCTTGAGGTAACCACTGCTGCCAGGCGACCATGGGGCGGGTACTGCCCTTTGACACCCTGCCTCGGCACCATTCAGAGGTCCACCAAGTGTGTTCAGGAATGTGTGCTCTCTAGGACCAAGGTTACCTTGAAAATGAGAACTCTATCACTCTGTGGTTACATCATTAACCAAAATAAAGCTTAAAATCAAGTGAACAGAGTTGAATCTAGAGATGGCCCAATCATGGACATTTTTATAAGTTACGAAGGTTAATTTGCCTTTCCATTTATTTACATGTCAGAAAAACACAAAACTCAATCAAAAAAGGAAAAGTAAAAAAAAAAACAAACCAAAAAAACAAGCACCCTTCTTAGTTGAATTGCAAATGAAATAGTAAGAAAATCCAACCATTGTGGAAATCATTTTCATTATTATAAGGTATATATTTCATTTTTAATAGTGTTCTTTAAGGATTAGTAAACAGAGTTATCAGCATCCTATAAAAATTAACAGTTAAATTTATATAGAAAAAAGTAAAATAAACAATGTAAAATATATGTATCACACTGCAACCCCATCAGTGTCTATTGCTAACCTCATATACAAATACACATGGGGTTCAACTTTTGACAGGTCATGGACCCTATTGAAAATATGAGGAAACCTAAGGTGCTTGAGAAAATACACACTATCAAATGTTTATTAATGACTTGAAGCCTAAGAACCCAGCATTGGAAATCCTGCTTTCAGCCTATTCATGACTTTTAATCACCTTTCTTTCTCCCATTCAATACTCAGTGGCTTGCAAAACCCATTGCTCTCGAAAGGGAGAAATTTGGATTCTAGTTCCCAATCATCCACTTATTCTCTGTGACTTTGGGCAGGTCAATCAATTTCATTCACCTTCAGTTACCTCATCCATAAACAAGTCTAATAATACCTTAATTGACTGAAGAGTAAGACTGAGGCCTGGACCAGGTGAGAACGCTCTAGGTTTTTGTATGTAATATAATTGCACTAAAGAACATTATGTAAGGAAGATATAGCTCATATTCTATCATATTTCCCAATAAATCTCTAACCTTACCCAAAGGAACATTAGATTTTTATAATCATCTTTGAATATACAATTATCAACATAGGATGACACACCATTTTCCTGTGGACTTACTACCATTAAACCTACAGAAAATTCCCCAGGATATCATTCTTTCTAGAATGACTTTTAACAACAACAACAACAACAACAAGAAACTATAAAAGTCAGCATTGCCCTTTGAACACACTTACCAGCTGACTGGCCGCGATTGGTGGCATCATGATCACTATCTCCCTGTTCACTGTCTCCATGACCACTGTCCTTAGAGCTTACTATGTCGGCTTCTTGGAAGGCAGAACTAGAAGTACAAAAACGTGAATATTAGAATAAAAAAGGCAAAGAAACACAAAAAACATTCTTCTGCCACCACATGGTCACCAATGGTGCTGCAGATTCATAGACCTCTGGGCTTTATTTCTGCAGAAAGCTAGTTTCATCACCTTAAGCCTAATTCTTTAAAACTGAGCAGAGCAGTCATTTTGAGCCTTTAAGGTATGTCACGTTAGTCATTATTCTATGATTAGAGTTTTGTTTATGTGTATATCATTTTCATAAAAGAGTATTTATTCACTGGGAATAGGGAGACTATCAGAAGCAGTGTGAGTATAAATTGACAAAATATTCAAATATATTCAGTAAGTTGTATATAGATGGAATATATCCATATTTTTAATATATTGTCTAGGAACCCCAGCATAATCAGTATTTATGTTTTGACCTAGCTGGAGATCTTATATTTTAATATTGGATAATACACCTAATTCCTAATTTTAGTAGGTAGGAAATTGTCCACACATCAAGCTAGGGTAAAAAAAAAAAAAAAAAGAGTCCATACCTGTTAACTCGGCGAGGTCTGTCAACTAGATAGCTGAGCTCTGCTCTCTGGTGTTTAGTCTAGAAAAAAGATAAATAAATCAAGAGCATTTGAATGCTGAGGGCTTAACTAGTAGTCTTCTTTTGAGGTTAGGAATTGAGTTTCATTTAAGTACTGTGTACAGTTTTATGAATTTTCAAGCTATTCTAAGGCCTCACCCTAGTGATTGCTGGGTAAGGGAACGGCAATATGCAGAGACACTTCAGTCTAGATTTTCAGTAAAGGTTAAAAAACATTGCAAAAATAAAAAAGCCAATTTTAAACGTGTGTGTGTGTGTGTGTGTGTGTGTGCTTAAGGAGAGATTGCAAATGACCTCATAGCTAGGGCTCATAAACTATTGTCCCTAATAGAGTCAACCTAGGTATACTCTGCAGTCTTTCAGCGGCCTAAAAAAGTGTTTAGGTGCATACTGGTTGACACAAGAAAAACAGCACGCTCAATAAGCAAAAAGTTTGGATATTTTATGGAATTATTTTGTTGTTTATTTTCAAAATGTGCTTAAGATACAAATGAGCTGTACAAATATTCATGAAAGTCAATTAATAATATCTAAGACTCAAATAAATAAAATAACCTGCCAAGAAAAGAATTCATAACCCCCCCCCAGACCTTTCCCCCTCCAAATACCCTCTGCATTCTCCTCCCCAACTCCACCATCCACACACCTTTTCTGGTCCAAACTTTCTTGTACATAAATCAACTCTGTTCTCCCCCTCCCTCCCTCCTCCCAACTTTGCCACTTCGCCATCTTTTAAAAAGAAATCGGAATTAACAAGCCAAATTCTTTGAGGAAGAAAGCCAGCAGTAGTGATTTATCAAGAACAGTGGCAAAAGGTGATTATTAGCTAAAAGATATATTTAAGGTAACAATTGTTTAAGCCTTCCGTTAGTTTACGCTTACAGGGGTTTGTGCCAAAGCAACTTCATTCAAATTCACACTGTGTGGGCGTTGGGCTTCAAGAGCGTCTGTAAATGCTGTCCAGAGCAGAACTGAAGGCTTTTCTGCAACCCGAGTTCAGAGGAAAAGATCTGATAACTTATTCACTAAAACATGCATTCGAGTTTAGACAACTGTGCGAAGTTAAACAATCTATAGCTTACTTTTACACGCGACTGAAAGCATCGATAAACAAAGCAAACAGAATTAACTTTATTAATGCCTGGGACAAACGCAAAGAGAAAAAGACCTTTGCCAGTACCAGAAAGTCCCTCCATCGCAATTCCCTCGCTCCCCCCGCGCACTTTTCCCTTTACCCTCAGATTTCTGAGAAGGGAAAGGACTGAGAAGGGGTTAGGATTTTAAAGGAAGAATGCCAGAGGGAAGAAGGAGGGTCCAAGGTGGCAAAGCACCAAGGGGAGGAAATGAAAGTAAATGTGGAGGGGTGGAGCGCAGAAAATTAGGGACAACACGAAGTTTAGGTTACATACGAAGGGGTGGGATAGCCTCCCCCCAATTCCTGCCCCCACAGAGATACAAATAAGTTAATATCCTAAATATAAATACACAGTGCACCAGAGATACAAGGGCCGGGCTAGAGGAGGCTTTCAGATGGAGGAGATGAGAGATGGTGGTCCTTTCGCTTCAGCCTTACCTCGTTGGACAAAATGCTTCCGTTGGAGATGATGTCGGGCTGCTGGTCTGTGTAGCCGGTGACGATGGCCCCACAGGGGTTGTGCTCAGTGTCCGTACTCCGTGAAGGGCTGCAGGGCTTAAGGAACATCAGGTCGGTCTTGGCGGACTCAGGGGTCAGGCAGACCTGGTAGCAGTAATTCTGGTTGTGGTGGTGGGAGCCGAAGCCCCCGGACTCCTCCACCGGCACTTGGGCCGGGTTACTGGGTACATTGGAGCTTTGCACCAGCATGATGTCCGACTTGCTGAGTTTCTTCTTGCGCGCCCGGGCTTGGCGGCCACAGCAGGTCGAGCCCCCGCTGCCACAGCAGCAGCAGCAGAGGCAGCAGTCGCTGGCTAGACACGTGTAGATGTTGAGCTTCTTCTCTTTTTGGCAACGCACGGCAAGCACGATCATGGCTAGCAGGAATATGAAGGACACCGAGCCCAGCGCAATGATGAGAATGAGGGTGAGGTCCAGCGAGGTCTCCCCGCCGCCGGAGCGGCTGGGGCGCTGATGCTCCCCTGGCCCCCCGCTACCGCCCCCGCCCCCACCCTGGGGCTCCACAGCTCCATCCACCAGCTGCACCACCAGTGTGGCAGTGGAGGACAGGGGCGGCTGCCCGTGGTCGCGCACCTCGATCACCAGCTCGTAAGGCCGCTGGGGGTCGCGCTTGGCCGGCACCCGACGCGCGGTGCGGAGTTCCCCGGTGCGCCAGTCCATGCGGAAGAGGTTCATTTCGTTGCCCCGCACAATGCTGTAGGTGAGCCGGGCGTTCTCGCCGTCGTCTGCGTCCACTGCCGCCACGCGCGTCAGCAGGTAACCCGGCTCCGCCGACCGGGGCAGCACCTCGCGCGCTGGAGTCCCGTTGCGCCCAGGCAGGGGCGCCACGATGGCAGGGGCATTGTCGTTCTGATCCACGATGAGGATGTTGACGGTGGCGTTACCAGCCAGAGCCTGGGGGCTGCCGGCGTCCCGAGCTTCCACTTGGAAGCTGAAGTCCTTGAGCTGCTCGTAGTCGAAGGAACGCAGGGCGTACAAGTAGCCGTTCTCAGAGTTGATGGACACGTAAGTGAAGACACTCATGCCCTGGATCTGGCACTCGAGGATAGAGTAGGCTAGCTGGGCGTTGGCGCCCTCATCGCGGTCTGTGGCGCTCACCGCGTAGATGTACGCGCCCGGCACGTTGTTCTCGGTCACATACACGTCGTAGACGGGCTGGCTAAACCGCGGTGCGTTGTCGTTCACATCTGACACTTGTACCTGGATCGACTTACTGGTGGAGAGCGCCGGCTCACCCCTGTCCCGAGCCACCACTGTTAGGGTGTAGGAGTCTCCAGCCTCTCGGTCCAGGGGGGCCTCGGTCACGATGGTATAGTAGTTCTTGAAGGAAGACTTGAGGCGGAACGGCACATCCCCCAACAGCTCGCACTGCACCTGCCCATTTTCCTCTGAGTCGCGGTCCGTCACGCTAAACAGGGCCACCACTGTACCCGGCGCCGCGCCCTCGCTCACCGCCTCCTTCACCGTGCTGAAGCTTATTTCTGGCGCGTTGTCGTTAGCATCCAGTACTCGCACTAGCACCTTGCAGTGCGCGGGCACCGCGTTGGGGCCCAAGTCCTTGGCTTGTACGTATACTTGGTACACTGGGCTCTCTTCATAGTCTAGCTCGCCGCTCACCTCCAGTCGGCCGGTGCGCGGGGAGAGTCCAAAGAGCTCCCGCGCCCTGGGCGAAATGTGGCTGCTGAAGGAATACACGACTTCGCCATTCTGTCCCTCATCTGGGTCTGTGGCGTTGAGCTGGATTACAAGCGTGCCCGGTGGCGAGTTCTCTGGTAGAGACACAGTGTAGACGGGTTGGTCGAAGGCGGGGACATTGTCGTTGGAGTCCAGCACTCGGATGGTGAGTAGGGCAGTGCCGGTGCGCTGCTGTTGGGGTGGTAGGCCCCCTCCCCCGCCGCCTCCCCCTCCTTCGCCTCCTCCTCCCCCTCCTCCCCCGTCCACCGCGGTCAGCACGTAGCGGTGCACCGCTTGCTGCTCTCGGTCCAGGGGCTTCTCCAGCACCAGCTCGGCGAATCGGTTGCCATCCCCCTGGGTCTGCACGTCCAGGGAGAAGTAGCTGTTGGGGGTTATCTCGTAGTCGCGCAAGGAGTTGGTGCCCACGTCTGGGTCGAAAGCGCTCTCCAGGGGGAAGCGGGTGCCCGGCGTAGCGCTCTCAGAGATCTCCACCGTCAGGTCCGGCTCTGGGAAGGAGGGGGGGTTGTCATTGATGTCCAGCACTTCGATCTCCACCCGGAACAGCTCTAGGGGGTTCTCCAAGAAGACCTCCAGGTGCAGGACGCAGGAGGGGCTCTGCTTGCAGATTTGCTCGCGGTCGATCTTCTCATTCACGTACAGCACCCCGGTCTCCAGGTTGAGGTCCAAGTAAGGGGTCCGCGAGTTGGGCACCGTTTGAAACCTGCGAGCTGAAAGTTTTGTAATGTCCAAGCCCAGATCTTCAGCGATATTCCCCACGAAAGTGCCATGTTCCTGCTCCTCCTGCACTGTGTAGTGAAGCTGGGAAAAGACTCCTTCCACCATCCAGAGCAAGGCAAAGAATAATAGCACAATCATCTCCAAAGGGAAAGGAAGCAGCTTCCCGCAGCCAGCCAGCCACCCAATCTCCTCCCCCACCACCACGAAAAAGAAAATCTTAAAAAAAAAATACAAATAAAAGTGCGCTATGTGGGGGGCTCCTGTGGCTTTCTGTCCTTAAAAATCTATTCCTTTTGCTTCATTTTAGGGCTTCCCCCAATTCAGCCTCATTTTTCAATCTTAGCGCAGGAAGGGTGACAGGCGTCCCCTTTCCTCATCTGTAATCTTCCCACTGACCAATTAATAAAATAATAATACAATAGTCAGCGTCCTTTATTCCGACAGTCTTGGCGCAACGCGGCGCTGGCAAATCCCAAGGAGGAAATTTCGATATTTCAAGACTGTCCTCGGTTTGTCTTCTTGCTGATGGGAGGAGAAGGAGGAGGAGGAAAAGAAGGAGGAGGAGAAGGAGGGGGTGGAAGAGGAGGAGGAAGATGAAGAGGAAGAGGAGAAGGAAGAGGAGACGCTGCTGGCACCGTTGAACATGCCTCAATGTCAACGGCTGGCAAATGCAAAAGGGCTTAAAAACAGCAAGAGAATTTTGTGCCGGAAAAACATAGAACGGCTCTGCAGCATAAAACTTTCATTCTCTTCATTTCTCCGGATGGATGTTCTTGGCATTTTCTCCTCTTTCGCTCTATTTGTATTTTTTGGCTTTCATAGTTTTGTCTCTCTCTGTCCTCATCTCCACCATCATTTGCCTCTCTATAAGTGTGATGAGCAGTTTCTTTCCTGCTGTTTTCTTCCCAAGTCTCTTTCCCTCTAACCAGTCTCTCTTCCTTCCAGTCTTTCCCTCCTCCTGCTTCAGCCCTAGAGCCTGTGATCTCGGCTGGCAGTTTCTGAGCTCCGAGCGCTCCGCTTTTCTGTTTTTGCGCAGCGCCCTCATTCTGCCAACCAGTAACTGAAGAGCACCACCCACCGAGCCACCGCTAATTGGCCAATCTGGCTGTCAAGCATGAGCGTCACTCGGCAGCCGGGAGGGGCGGGATGGAACTCGCGACCGGGCGGGCGGCCGGGGTGAGTGTGAGTGTGAGAGTGAGAACAGCCCGGCAGGTCCCGAGGCGCTAGCTGGGGACTCTGCTGCGGAAAGTTCCCAGTCCCCAACCGCAGGCAATGGAGAGGGAATAGAGAGGTTCCCCTGTTTGCATCAGCAAATGCGAAAACATAATAGCAACAGCAGCGGTATCCTCTCTCCGGAGCGGGATTTCCAATGACGCCTAACATTCTTTTTTCTTTAAGGTATTTTCCTTTACTACTGATCGTGGAAATAAATCACCGGGAAGGGGAAAAGTTGCAGAGGGGCCACTAACTGCAGGGGTTACCTAATTAAGGGGCTCTGGCAGAGATTGGCTGGACATTTTTTTTTTAAGAGATATAATATGGATTGGGTAAAACTAAGCGTGAGGGTCTGAAGGGGCTGTGTGGAAAGGAGTGAAGCAGTTGGAGTGTGGGGCGGAGGTAGGTCCTGAAAAGCCGAGGGATTCACGCCAAGAGATGTGGGCTGGCAGCTACTATAGATGTGCAGACGCGTTAGACTTGTCTCTTCCCTTCCTCGGTGTATATCCACGACATTCTTACCAAATAGATTAATTCCCTTGGGGACCTAGTTCGAACTGCGAGCGCTTTGATCAATGACTGAAGAGTTTCATTTGAGCACTGCCTTCAAGCACGCCAGCCTAACGCCCGACTCGCTGGCATCGGAGCATCGCTGGGCGCTGCAAGGCGCCCCGGATATCCCTGCGCCTCACCCGGCTACGCTGCGGCGGCGCGCTCAGGCTATTTTCTGCTTTTCCTGACATTTGGAGATCCCCCTTCCCGCCCCCATGCTAAACCGAGGCACCGATTGTTGCCCAGTTTGAGGCAAGACCGCTGGATGAGAACAGCAGGGCGGCTGAGAACACGGGCAGGGGTGAGGATGAGTCGGTGGGCAGGGGCCGAGCACATGCGGCGCCCGAGTGTGTGCCGCTGCGGGTATCAGCGAACGTGCTTGCACACTTACTGTGCTCACATCCATCCTCCTTGGCCCGGCGCACAGGGCTGTGCAAGCCCCAACGGAGCCTCGAACCACACACCCCGATATCGAAGGATGCGCTTGAGGAGCGTTGAGTACCCACTGCCGTGACGTGGGGGCAAAGCAGCGCATCCATGCATCCAGTTCTTGTGAAGTTAAAATAACAGCGCGAACTCTTCAATGTTAGAGAGTGGAATGAATGCCAATTCTCCAAGAAACATTTTTAAAAGCGTATTTTTTTATATTAATTAATGGGCTGTAGGGGGTTGTTTATTCACTAAAACTGCCCCTGTTCAGTCTTCTTCTTATGCCACAGTATAGAATGGTCCCCTGCGGCTTCCTGGTAATGAATGACCCGAGAGTAACACCGCCACAACCTGCGAGAAAAGGAGAGCCCTTTGCCCATCCCGAGGTACGTTGAGATTTCTTCGTGGCAGGGAATTAAGGAGAGCGAGTGTCCACGGGCGTGATTAGAGACTGAGGCATGGCTCTGTGAGTCCCGCGAGTGCGTGTCTAGTGCCCTGGTGCCCCCACCCTTGGCTCTTTCATGGATGGGTCCTGCCTTTGAGCGGTTAGAAGGAAAGAATGCCAGCAAAAATGGCTAATCCTTTTTCAGCTGCAGTAAATTGACTACTGGCCATAGCCAAGAGAAAACCGCTGCAGTTAAAATGATTTTAGCATCGCGTCTACTGCTGAGAATGGAGTGGCAGTTTATAAAAAGGACCTGTGGATCAATGAAAGGGAGATTATAGTGTATCTGAATATTAATAACGGCATTGCGTCTATACTTTCTACCCCTTCCCCCCCCCCCTTTTTCTTTAGATCTGCAAGATTGAAATGAAATATTTTGAGTTCTTCCAGCTGACTCATCAGAACCCTGGAGCATTTTTTAAATGACGGTAATTTTCTAATGTTTTCATTTATACGTTTGGAAACACTTGTGTGTGCGTGCGTGTGCACGCGTGTTTGCGTGTGAGAGACATGTGGCTGAATGACAATGCAGATCCAGAAATTGTTTGGGGGAGAGGGTTTGTGTTTTCAAAATGTAGATGAAGTTTGAGCAGACTTGGGGCGTTCGCTGAGAGCCACAGAGCTTCCAAGAGGTGGAGATGAGAACGTGGAGAGATGGCCGGATTTGCCTCTAAATAATCACTGCATCCCCTGTAACACTTGAGCTGCCTTTTTTTTTTTTTTTTTTTTTTGGTAGCAGTTGTGTTTGAGCCGGGAACTCTCTCTGCAAACGTGGGTTACAGGCGTCTCCTAGCGGCGAAAGCAGCATAGGGCAAGCCAGAGAATTTTGCTTTGGAACTCTCTCCTTCCGCAGGGTTCGCCTGTTGGGGGCTCTGCAGGATTTCTTGGGTCGAAAAGGCCTGTGTCCGCTCGGGCGACACAGGCCCAGGTCCCCTAGAGGTCTCGCCTTTGACTTCTGGCCTCTGAAGCTGCCCAGGACCTTTGGGGTGACGACGGGGTCTTCTGCCAGGGGGAACAGACCCGAGCCCGGCTGTACACCTCCTTCTAGGTAGCTCCAGCCAAGGGCAACTGAGAGAGCATTTTGTTCAGGGCAAGAATCATATACTGGCATTAATAGCCTTTCCTGCCTCCTTACCCTGGAAACATTATACACCCCCACCCCGTCACCCACAAAACAAAAGCCTTTTAAAAATGCCTCTTAATTCCTTTTCCTTTTACATTCCCTTCGGTGAACCCGGAATTTAGTGAGGCCATGATTACGTAAATAAGAGCCTCGGTAGTGGGGTTCACGACCTCTTTGAAGTGGAGAATATCCTGTGATACTGCATCCCTCTCTCCCCCCTACCCCCATTACTGGACCCAGAAGGGAGCAGCAACACCTAGGGAACACAACCTTACCCCCTACCCCCAACATCCCCTACAGGGGAGCCAACTATCTGGGCCAAAGCAAATTAAATCCTAAATCAGAAGGGGAAAGTAGTTATATTTCGAGGGATGTATCAAAATCAATTTTCATAAAAGTCCTGGTTGGTGTATGAGAATGATAATGCGCACTCATGTATTTCATTGGCCTCTAAGTACAGCAGAAATTGGGGGGGGCGCTAAGGATCCCACAAATGCGTTTTATATACATAGTTACAAACTTTGAAACTAGGTAACAGGGTTGTTTTCTTCCCTACCCTTTTTTGGAAAAGGCGGGAGGGAAACAAGTTTGTTAGCCAGCGTTTGGATAAATGAGTGTTTGCAGTGATTTAACTTGACTTGAAAGCAATTTGTTTCTAAATCCTCTTATTATTGCAGTGTGCCCAGAGCTTTGAGAGGAGATTTTTTTTTTTTTTTTTAAGAAATGGAAGAAAAAAATTTAAATTGTCAATAAGAAGTCTTTTAAACACCAGACCCGGCTAAGATTGAGCTGGATGATTCCTGGCATTTGTCATTCCCAGCAAGGACAGTGCAGAGAGCAAACTCAGAGCACCTGGACCATGCTGCATCTCTTACGGGTATCCATGAAATAGGTTTATTTGCAGTAGTGTAACCTAACTTAAGAGGTGGGAAGGCAAGGCTTTGGAGACACAGACACTGTAATTTTTTGTTCATCTACTTTAGAGAGAGAATGTTGACTAGAGTTTCTAGAAAGATTTATAGCATAAACTATTATAAGCCTTTAGGTTACTCTTTAGATACTGTGTTGTAATGTTCTGAAATCAACAGAGAACAAACCAATCTGTGTTTTGGGGACTGGAAATACTAGATTTTCCATTAAAGCATTGCTTATATTCAAAGTAAAAATGTTCTTCTCCATTTTGTTTAACCTAGTTAATATTGGTGCGGCTTCACATTTCAGTGTCTTTTCAGTTATCAGACAGGGCCAGCATTTTGTTAAACTCGAAACAGTGAATTAAAAGCACTGATGAGCTGAAACAGCCCTCTAATGCAAAATGACAAATTGCACTTAAGCAATACATGAAGAAGAAAATGATTTATGGATTTTTACAATGGTCTGAGCAAAGGAAAGCAACATGAATTATACATCCTAATGCTCACGATATCATTTTCTAATAATACGGTTTCAGTTCAGATGCTACACTCTCATCCTTTCTATAAGAGATATTGATCAATAAGAGGTCCAGGAATATTTTTAAATTAGGCAATGGTGTCTGATATGGGTTCCAAATATATATATTTTTCCTGAGTATGGGGGGGAGGGTGAACATGGAACATACTATCATTCTAGTCAGCTCCTTCACATTTTTTGTCTTTGGGTGATAAATAGTCCTTCTGAAACTTACGTTTTGTTCCACACTTTCTTTCAGAATGCAAATAAATAGATCTAATTTAGAATGACGATCTTTGTTACATCATGACCTCTTACTCTGAAAATCAAAATGCATAATCTCATCTTAGCTTTTTCTTTCATTGCTTTTGATATTGAAAAATCTGATTTCTCCAAAATGTCTCTTACCTTCTTCATATTTGCTTTATCCTATTTTTCCAAAACATTGTTTAATTCCTTAGTGTGTTGAAGACACACCTGAGTTAGTAAAAAGGTCATACACCTTAGTTTTATTTTGGTCTTAGTAGAGAGAATAGATCTTATGGCTGTCTTAAATTATAGAAAAAAAATCAGATAAAATTTTATGTGATGCTTGCTTTTTGAGTCTGGGGAAAAATCTAGTTACCTCACCTCTGTGTTATGATGAGTGACTACACCTAGCACTTTTATTTAACCATTTGTGGCTTATATAAGTGTTTTAGGGCATGGTAGAATTTTAAGTGAAGACAGTGTCTTTGCTGTCTCACATACTCAACCACAGGAAACTTCTAATTACCCAGAGGCCTCCTGAGCCACATTATTAGGCCTAATTTTAATTATCCAGGTTTATAAAAAAAGAAAAGAAAAAAAATTGAATCACAGTTTCTGCTTTTGACAGCATTAATAATCACTCTTACTGAAAGTTTACTGAAATCAAAGATGTGACTAGGATTGTAAATAAGAACTACAAGACATCACATTTAAAAAGCAAGCTGCTTTGCTAACATAAGTGATGTGTGGGTTTTACTGATGGGGCCCAATGGTAGAAATGAAGGTTTAAACATTAAGATCAATTCAGAACAATATCCAAAATTAATTGCAAGCCCTGATTAAGTTTATATAAGTAAGAAAAAAGGTGTCTAGAATTCTGTGTTTTTTCTTCCCCAGTGTGTTTTGCTTCTTATTTGACAATGATACAGTCAGCATAATGCTAGTGTTTGTCTGGTAAGTATAAATTGTTTTCTTAAGGGGAAGCCCCTTGAGTTTATAAATACAAAATGAGATTATCCAAATTGTGATTAGGGTTAAAAGCCATAGCATTATTTTCTGAAGAGTTTGAAAATTTTATTGGAGACAGACACCATGCAAAGAATGTCAAACATAACTTGAGAATTACATTAGTAATTAGTAATTGGAATTACAATAGTAAACAGTAAATAGATACTTCAATAAAAAATTATCTATTTCAGTTTGACTGCCTGCCTACTTAGTGTAACTCTTTATATTAGAAACTTGATTTTCGTGATGTCTTATTTCAATGGGCCTGACAATGCTACACTGTAAAATGCTTTATTTTATTACAGTTTTGGGGGGCTTTTTAGGTGAAACAGAGTAATGACTTTTAAACAGCCAATGTATTCCAAGCATCCTTACATAAGTTATCATATCCCTCCCCATGTCTGTAAGTATTATCACTTCAACATTATAGGTAAAGATACTAAGGATGTTCAGCATTTAAGTTACTCTTCAAATTAATACAAAACTCACATCCAGGCCTTTTGATGCTCATGTTGAGGCTCACTTTCCTACACCATGATGTTTTTCTAGTGTGAGTTAGATTTATTTAAGAGGTAAAACAAACCAAATAAATGAGGTAATTTAGAGGTGGGGTTCATCCAGATTTTGTACAGACAACAGTACTGGTTTTATCCTAGTCAAAATGGCTAGGACATTGAGTTGAGCCATGGAGAAATTCATAAATGAATTTAAGGAGGTGTTGTGTGTGTGTGTGTGTGGATGTGTGTGTGTGTGGATGAGGGAGTATTGTCAGGAAACCCAAGCTTGAATATGTTTTCTTACAAGAGTGAATGGTTCATAGCAGCCATCTTTTTCTCATGCAGAAGTGCCTAACATGGGAATTGTAGGTTTTAATGATTGAAAATGGAAACTGATAAAACAAATGTGTCCAAAAGGAAGGCTTCATCCAGTCCTGAAAAATACAATGTTGATCAATGGTCCCAAAAGTATTGCCTTAGTTTATTAGAGTTTGTTGAAAGCTAGGGAAAAAAAGAAGTATATCAATTTTTTTACAATGCAAATATTAGTGTTTATTTTGTATATATTTCTGAACTGGTCCTTAATTTAAAAGGCAACCTGTTTCTTTAAGCAAAATTTCTACTATCACTTTATACTAATTTCTTCAGTGTTGCTCAGAAAAGATTGTTTTAACTTGAAATTTCAAAGTTAAATAAATTTGTCTGACAATTTTATGCCAGCAGAAAATGGAAGAAAACAACTTTAAAACAATTTTAATACGGAAAGAAATAATCAAAGGAAGATGATTATGGAATCTTATTTACCTACTGTAAGTAAAACACATTATTATTTTGATAATAAGTATGGACAGAGGAAAATATCATATTTCTTTTAGAAGTATACCCAGTCACTCAGAGTATGTGCAATGTAGGCTCTACAGGGTAGTTCTATATCTTACTCATTTCTCAAGGTACACAACTGTGGAAGGCAATGGTACAGTAAAGTATGAAGAACATAAACTTGACAATCAAGCCAAATTGGGCTCAAATCCCTGCTTCTCAAAATATTTGAACTTGGACACATTACTTAACTCCTTTGAAACTCTGTCAAAGTGTATCAAACATGCTGAACATCTGTTAAAATATGATGATATATAATGATTTTATTTCCTTTATGAAATGCAAACTAAAGTATTTACTTTGAGGTGCAAAAACAGTTTCACATTGTTTCTATTTACAGGAAATTATAATTTTGAAGATTGGATGCAAATAATAAATGAAGAAGACTAAACTAACAACATTTTAACTAGGCACCAAGACATAAAAATCAGTAATGACCTTTTCTCATAGTTGCGTTTTATTTTAAAACTTTTGTTTTCTTCCAGATAAGTTTAAATTTTCTACTTAATTTAAAAATTATCAGAAAATATCTAATTTCTATTTAATTTGTATGATAATACTAATACTGATATGTAGATAGATTTTAAAAATCATTTTGATAAGAACATGCTCTTTCATTGTAGAAATTTGTTTTTCTTACTTCTGTATTTATCAAAATTTTAGGATTAAAGTACACTAATTTGATAGATTCACTTATTTTTCTTCCAGTTCCTTGATATAAAGCCTTAATACCTACTATTCTATTCATGCTAATGAGTACTAAAATTCTCAAAATTAAAAACAAATTAGTGAAAATCAATTACTTAAAATAGAATGAGTTTATTAGAATGACCAATTCTGAGTCTCAAGCCTCAATTGTATTTGACTTTCTCCCCAGCATCCTTCTCCTTGCAATTTTTCTGCCTAATTATTAGTATTCTCTTCAGCAGTTTCTTATAATTTTAGAAGCAAAAACATGCATGGATGCTGGTGTGATAAGAGCACAGTCATAGGAATACTGAAAGAATAGAAAAAAATGTAAATCATGGATATTTTTTTTAAGGATTCATACTCAATTTGATATATAAAGAATATACATTTAAAAAGTTTGAATAACTTTATTGAACAGTATGAAAAATCCTGTTAAAACATATAATGACTATGACCACCAAATGCGTAAGGAATAAAGAAAAGACTAGAATAAAACCAATTAGTTAAGCAAAGATTTCCAGAAAAGGGCAGTTTTTGTTATGATTGATTGATTTTTGAGTGAGAGAGAGATAGAGAGAGCATGCATGAATAGGCAGGGGAGGGGCATAGGGAGAGAGAGAATTTCAAGCAGACACAGAGTCTCACCCAGGGTTTGATTTCAGGACCCTGAGATCATGACCTGAGTCGAAATCAAGATTCGGTCACTCTGACCCACCCAAGCACCCCTTGTTATGATTTAAAACTATCTGAAGCAGGTTAGAGGGATTTGCACAGTGAAGAAGTGAAGGCAGTGATAGCAAAAAGCTTTTCTATAGAGATCATAAAAACAGCAAATTAATCTTTTCAATTGTGGGGCAATATCCTGACTCTGGACTCATTTCCTTAAATCTACAATGTCCGAGGACCTTAATTTTGTTTCATTGGATTTTTTTCCTCCCCATCACCACCTGCAAGAACTTGGCCAAATTTAAGGTCAGCAGACAAGGGTGAGATCCTCCTTTAGCGTATATACCTGAGTGATGTTTTTGGTATGGTTTGGGCTAATAGCCAATGTTCAGCCTTAGAATTATGATAAGACATAATATTATTGCTTGTTCATTAGCATACATATTTGAGGACCTTGGCTGTTGCTAATCTAATGATGAAGTGCTGATTGCTGATTTTCTCAAACCATTTTTTAACCTTTCCTACTCAGACTAAGTTAATTAGATACTAAGTATCTAACTTAACAAAAACATATTTTCATTCTGCTGGACAGATAAGAGAGAGAACTATTACTTAAGTCTAAGGAACATAACAAACATTCAGCTAAATGGTCACATTTTTGATGGATTTTTTTGGCTGCATAACCAGTACTTCATAAAAATTTGCTGACTAAATAAATGAATGATTGATCTTTTAACTTTCTATTATTATTCATCTTAAAAGATATTTCTAAGATATTTTGCTCAATTCCACAATCTATGTTTTTAATAATCCATATTTCAGAAAGGTCTTTTGAAGTTGGTTATTGCAAAGGAAACTAAGATGGAAAGTTCACTGTTTAAGTGCTTACAAATAATGAAATGCATTTCTTCTCCAACTACTACTCAAAAGTGATATATCATTATGATTTTGTTTTCTAATTTTCACCCTATTTCATATATACTATGTTGACCTTGCATACAAATATGAATAGAGTAAGTAAAATGGCCAATATTCTGAAGTGTTTTATTCCTTTTATAAGGTCATGACAAGCTAAGGAGTCCTCTGTGATTAGAATGTTAGAGGTTAAGGGTAAACATAGACGAGATGGGAGGACATTTGCTGCTTCAGATAGAATCAGGAGATACTACAATTTAGAAGAGTACTTCAGGGTTCAGTTAAAAAGAAATGTTAACTTCGTAGACTCAAAGCGATATACTGAATTTCAAGCCAGAGGGGACACTGTCTTGCTTCTAGCTTCTCTATTCCTCAATCACCTGAAATGGAATTATGTCTCTTCAAGAAAACGCTATTGGTTGCCTTAGTGTATATAGATACATATTTTTTTTTTCTTTCAGATCCCCCAGCTTCCTTATTCCATAACTGCCAGACCTATATTGTGGTTTAGATGTTATGGAGTTTGGAAATAATTCTGTAATAGTCTGACAACTATTTTACATATGCAAGATTAAGAGTAATCCTGTGAGGTTTTTCACAGACTAGTAAAGTCAGGATTAGTTGACCAGAATGAAAGGATTTCAGTGTAAAGGTAAAGTACACACTTTAGGAAGAAAAAAGGCATAGTAGTTAAAACTATGTTTTTGGTATAGGAAAATTAAAAAAAAAAGTATCAATGAAACAGGATAGACCACACAACATCAGGTGATGCTATATGTTGAAGTTTGCTTGGTTTAAAATGGAGAAGTTTCATGTCTGTTGTGAAAAGGTTTAGTTTTTCATCTTTCATGATATATGAAAATGAATTCCCTGCTGGATTTGAGCATTTATTAAAAGATATAAAACCATGGGATAATTAGATTTATGATAGCATCTGTCAACTGAAAAAAAAAGGTAAACTTGAATTACCAGAAATTGAGTTTATTCAGGAATAGCAAAAGAATTGCATATCAGAAGGCAAAATATACCAAGCTTTTGCGAGCCTGAGGGCCTCAGCAGGCTGCAATGGGCAAGGAGTGCAAAGAATGGGAAGTCCAGCCAGAATCCAAGCAGTAAGTTTACTGGGCTTGAGGAGAGGAAGAGATTCTTCGTGGATGTTCCTTTGCCCAGAGAGAAGTTTCCCTCTTTTTTAAATGGAGACATTCCAAGTGGAGAGTATTTTTTTTCTTATTTATTCATTTGAGAGAGAGAGAGAGAGCGAGCGAGCACAATTTTTTTAACGGGCATTCGCGGGAAATCAGGCCTAGGTTTTCCTAAGAGCGCATGCGTGAGAGACTCCATTTCGGAAACTCAGAAGCTTGGTTTCGGTTTTATACTGAAATCCTTCCGCACGTGGTGCCTTTACATCATTCCAGATGCTTTTCTTGCAACCGGGCTTGACGTTGTGCTGTTCGGATTTACTCCTGAAGGCAAGTAAAAGAACTTCCCGAACAAATATGTGAGAGACAGCAGAAATTGTGCTCTTCCCACATCGTGAGGCCCTCAAGTGGAGAACAGTAGCCTTCTCCTGGGAGGCAATCCTGGGATCCCCTGTTACTGAAACTGCTGATGGTGGCAACAGATGGAGATTCTGCAAGGGGAAATCGAAGCTTGAAATTTTTGGACCTTTATTGCAACGTGAGTTCCTTTTGACATTGACGTGGGAGGAGGGGAATTAATATTGTTAGCCTTTCAATATATTCCTCATTACCAGGGTTAGAAAAATTCCCAATTTTTGGTGTTGAGATCCCAGAAACTCTTAAGAGGTTTCTTTCAGTTAGAGAGTCTTTGAAATAATAACCTGTTTTTCAGATTCCAAATGGAGAGTTTTTTTTTTCTTATTTATTCAGTTGAGAGAGAGAGAGAGGGAGAGAGCGAGCACAAGCCAGGGGAGCGGCAGGCAGAGGGAGGGGGAGAAGCAGACTCCCCGCTGAGCAGGGAGCCCAATGGGGAACTCCATCCAGGACCCCAGGATCATGACCTCAGCCAAAGACGCTTAACCGGCTGAGCCACCCAGGTGTCCCCCCAAGTGGAGAGTATTTCTAACATGCTTAGATAGCTTTGACAATGTCTTCTTATTGGAAAGCTAAGTTACTGTTGTTTTTATGGCTATTTCTTACTGAAATTCACATTAAAAATTGTCTAAAAGGTTTTTGTTTTTTCAATCATGTTTTAGTATATCATTTTTTATTTAACTGTTTTTGTAGAATTAAATATATAAGATTTACCTCTGAAAGGCAAAAAAAAAAAAAAAACGTAAATATCAACCTAGAGCACATGATTTATTTTAAAAATTTATTGATCTTTGCCATGATTCTTTTTAATAGCACACCTGAATTAATCTAGGATGGGAAAATTCATTTATGATTTTAAAATGAATGCCCCTTTAAAAAGGTGCTCTTTTTTCTCACCCTTAAAGTTAGTAGCTTGGATTTAGGTGGCTTTCTCATAACTTATGTAACATTTTTATGTTTAAAATAAGGACGTGCTTGGGAGCATGAGATCTGATTTATAGATTGGAGACTGTAACAAGAACTCTGTTTCTGTGCTCTGAAATTTTACATATGAAGAAGAATTTTAGATATAAAGACAGAAATGTTATTGATTTTATAGTTTATTCTAACTTTAATAATTATGAATAAAATGGATTAAAAATTAAAGGTTATGGCATTTAAGAACATCATTTTAATATGGCACTGTTCTCTTAAATTGCTGATGGTCACAGAATCCCTGATGATTTGTATTGTGTTCAGCAACATTTGCGAATTTTCTTTTTTTATCTGAGAAGAATGTGTTATATTTCAGTGAATTATAGGTGGCAGTATACACAGCTAAATTCTATGTTTTATTGCAGGTAGATAGAAAATATCTCAGTTGGTTAACAATTTCATATTTAAGCTTATTGTAATTCTAACTCCTGTTCTAACTCCCAATTCTAACTCCCCTCTCCTTTTTGTTTTTAATGTAAGAACATCAGATAAACTCTCTCAAATAAGAGCATGCTCTTGGGAAGTATTTTAAAGCTCAGGTTTATTCTGAAAGGTACAAAGTGGTTTTTTTGGTTTTTTTTTTTTTTTGGTAATGTTGTTAAAGATACATTAGAAACAGTATAATATTCACTGACCAGTTGACTTAATATTAACATCAGAATTTTAAAGCTGAAAGTCTCCTTAGAATTACATATCAAACCAGTGACAAGAGACTTTTTATTCTGTCTCTACATCTTCTGTTTTAAAAGTTACAAGCAAATGTGTTTTGACTGCTAATTGTAAAACTTCAATACTTTCTTGATTCACTATCTTGAGGTGTGATATCTATCTTTGAGAATAAGTACAAAATTGCCGTTCTTTATGCCTCATATCCACTCTGAAAGCATTATATTCATGAGTATGATTATAAAATTATACATGATGTAGAGAAACAGAAAAACTTTAAATTGATTATCAATACTCATACCCATCTTACAGAGAATAAGAACATTAGGCATTAGAGTGGTTCATTGACACCATTCCTTCCAGAAATTTTCACAAAGTGCATCCAAAGGTTTTATGAAGGTTACTCAGAGACATAAAGGGGTTGAAAGATGGGGCAGAGTGGAGGTGAGAGCCAAGAGGCAAGCAGGTCATACTCTGGTGCCCTGCAATTTTCCTCTTGCTTTGTTTTACATATTGAACTTTGTAAGATAATCTCTTTCCCTTTTAAACTAAAACCATTTTATCTATTCCAAAATCCTATGTATAAAGGAGAAAATTGAGAATGGAGTAGATTCAGCTACTTGCTGAGGGTCAAGTCAATAATTAGTAGTGTAGGGCTGACATTACCCAATACTGCTACTGTACTGCTAACCAAGTAAGTGGTATTTACTTTGTGTATGTGTTTCTCCATTGCAGGGAGTTTTTTATGTTTGTTTGCTTGCTTGCTTTGTTTATCCCTTTCCCCACCATAATTTGTTTATTCATTTTAATGCAGTTACTTTGCAATTTTTGGCCTCTATGTAGCTTATAATTTTCAAATAGATTTGCTTGCTTGCAAATGCTCACATTAATGCTGGGCAATTGTTTTAGGATCATTTGGTTCTCTCAAGCTGATATTGAAGCATTATTAATTCTAATAAGAAATAAGTAGACTTAGAGAAATTCAGGAACTGTTTTTCAGATTTTTTTCAAGGTCCAAAAGATAAGTTCTCAAAACTTGAATGTTTCTTAAGTACTTTCCAACAGGTTTTATTGTTTTTTGATAAGATGTGGTTCTCTAGCATTTGGAAGTCTGAATACCCTTAAGCGTTTGGAGTCTAAAGTAGGCATAGACCTGTAGAAATGTAAGAAGACATTAGCTAAGTGTATTGAGCTAAGTTCATTTGAAAAACAAATTGAAACCGTGGAAATGTTAGGAGACCAACCCCAAACCTCCTCCTATTTGGATTGGAGAAATGCAGTGGACCCCAGCATTTAGCCTCCCTGTTTTTGAATAATTTACTCTCTCAGATAGCTTTTGAGTCGAATAGTTATGTTAAGAATGATATCTTTTCACCTGAAAGAAATACTATGCTTGGAGCTGTCATATTCCCGCAGAATATGTCTTTCTAAGAATGTTTTATTATTATATTAGTTGAGATTTCAATCTGTCTCACTATGGATGCCTAGGTTTAATAAAAAAATAAATAAATAAAAATCTTCAAGATGTCGATGAATATTGCAGTGTGAGTACGGTTGACTTATTTTGCATGTTTGGCTAGAGCCTAGGAAAAAATCATTTATTTAGGTTGTGCTTGCATGGACCTGTATGATAATCTAGATTTCAAGTTTATGAACTCAAGTTTATTAAATATAGGGCCTTCCCCAAAAGTTAATACATTGTTATGCTCCATGTAACTTCAATTTGAAATAAAAAATGGCAAGAAATTTTGGTTCATTCATTTATTCATTCCAAGAAATGCATATTCAGCACCTACCATGTGTCAAGGTGTTCAGGATATATTAGTGAATAGAACAGACAAATGTTCTTGCCTTCATTTTAGTGTGTGTATGTACAGACAACAACAAATGAATGTATTAAATAAATAAATCATCTAGTATGTCAGAAGGTGAAAAGTGCTTTGGAGAATAGGAAAAGCTGAACAGGTTAAGAGGATCTTTTAATTTAAGAGTAAGTATCTCCGAAATTTGTGAGGGTTATAGAATTCAGAGATGAAATAGAGTGTGTTATTAGTAAGTGACTAGGGTTGTTTTGCCATGGGAAGAGAAAACAAACACAACTTTAGCTGTTCTTTTTTAAGATTTCCTTCAGGAGTTGCTTCAAAGTAGATTTCTCATTAGCCATTAAATTGAGTGTTTTCCCACTAGGCGATTTGCCCCAAACACTAAATTAGTGGGAGAACCACTAAAATAACTTTGTCATTCTAATGGCAAGAAGGCTTTTAAAGAAAAGGTAAAGGGATATTTGGATAGAGAGTAGGTTTCCTGTTTTTTTTTTTTTTTTTTGGCAGAAACGTAAGGTAGTATTTAAGAATGTGTCAGTGGAGGTAAAACTGTGGTTTAAGTTGTTGAGTTCCCAGGAGGAGACCTTGGAAGAATTTCTTGGTTACATTATCAAAACCCTTATTTTCCATGAGGAGTGGCTAAAGAATAAAAAGATCAATTAAAAGTGAAAAAGAAAATGTAGTTATTGTCATTTGAACAAGTAAGTTTCATATGGAAACTGACGACAAAGAACTTTATCAAACTTAACTGGTCCAAGAGCCTGCCTCCATTGCCCTTTGCAAAAATACCATTCTTATGCAAGCAATGGTCTTAGAACAACTCATGTCCTCTGTGAATGCGTACTCTGTGATTACAAAATGCTCACTCTTGTTTTAATGCTCGAAAGATTTTCTCCTGCCTGCCTCAATTTCCTAGTTTTATTTTAGCAAAATGCCTATCTCCCAAGCTTACTTATTTATTTGCTACTAACTTCATATACTTATTTACTCACTTATTTAAAAATGTGAAATGAAGTCCTGTATATTTGGGACATTGTGCTCGGTGCTTACAAAAACTTTTTCTAGTTAAAAAATTTCATATGAAAAGTGGTAAGGTGATATGACTAGTCTGAGTACCTGATTTGAGAGCCATTGTTTAGTTCTTTCTAGCTTATCGCTATATAGATTAGAAAAGAAGAGATGGATGACAGGCAGGATGTGGGTAGAAGTAACACCAGATTTGAAAGCAGAGAGACAGAAATCTGTATGAATTAAGTTGAGTGCTGTATGTACATAATGAAGACAAAGAGAAGAGGTTAAATGTTTTTGCCTATAGTCCTTTTAATAAGAAAGAGACATTTTTAATACGTTTCAGAATGATTTCAACACAGTGGTCCACATTTATACAAAGTTAATAATAAATTACATTAATGGTAATCCTTTACATTTATGTATTTAAGATGTTTGTGAAGTCCTTGATTAGTTATTTTTAAGAAGTTCTTTTGTAAAGAAAATTATTTTGTGGATTATATTTTTAGACTTTGATGAATGAATTATACCATTATGGATTATATTTAATCTATTTTTTAAAAGATGCTCCATATATATTTAGCTTTCTGATTTGCCATACTTGATTTGCTGCAAACCTATTTTTTACAAAAAGAATTTCCTATTTTACAGATTTGCAATGCAGTTAATGAATATATTTTTAATCCTAAATGTTAATCATGTTTAAATCATTCTTGCATTTACATACACTGAGCTCAGTACAGTACACCATATATATAATTATCTTATACATGCTTGAGGATGTCTTGTTTCTAATAATTTCATCACATGCAATTGGAAATGTGTGTTTTAGTTTCTATAGAATGATTGTTAAATTTCATATAATATCTTTCTGGG